TGTGTGTGTGTGGTCAAAAGAGGAAAGAGACTCATTCATGTTAGCCTCTAGTTAGTAAGGTAAATAATAGTTGGTCAGAACTGCACAATGTTTTATTTCATTCACAATTTTATGACATCAGTGTTTCGGTTAAAGAGATTTATTTTTTATTTAATTCGACATCAAAGAGTATTCTTTTTCTTTCTTTTAAAGCCTTCCAAACCATCTTGGCAACATCTGACTTTGAAAAGCAATGAATCTTCCAGTTTTTCATCCCTAGCTGTGAGTGGCAGACCTCCTTGTGGAACAATGCGGGGGGGTTAATAAAATCCCAGTCATGGTGTTGACCTCTGATCGAGGTCAAGGGCCACGGCTGGAGGGTGCCAGACGGGGCCAGCCGATTGGCTGAGAGGTGTGAGTGCTGAAGGAGACAAAGGTCGTGGCTTGGTGAGGGAGGTGTAATGGATATGCAGCAGGAAAAGGTGGAGTGTGGGTGGCTCAATGCTTCAAGAGAAACGCGCACACAAAGAGAGTGGCAGATACTATCACGCACGAATACATGCAGAGAGATCAAATAAAGATGAACGGGAACAACAGCAAGAAAACGCAAAGCATTAGTAAGGCATTAGTAATTCAGTATTCCTCTGTATGTCATTTATAAATCCAGATATCTACTATTGTTGCACCATGTACAGATATCACTGCTATATATGGTATAACTATGTACAGCTACTAGTTCACTGCCAGTAATAATCATAATAACATCTGTATTTATAAGCAGCATACTTAGGAGGAGTGATGCTGTATAAATGATGAATAAGGCACTTGCTAATACCTTAGTAATGCTCAAAACATATTTTGCTTTGGGGCAAATCTTTGTTTTGTAATCATTTGGCTTTAGTCTTTTTGGATTTCATTAGCAATCAAGAAAATGCATGGAGTTATACGTCTTTGAAGCGAACACTCTCTGGTTTTCAATAAGTGCATTTTCTAGCTATTCATACCTGTTTCATTGTATTTGTATAATTTATAATGTTATAATCTTACACTATAAATGAGCAGAACAGGTAGCCGTTTCAAAATGTGAGTTTTTCCCCCCCAGTATTTATAGATTAACTGTCTAATCTCTTCATTGAACACGAATTATCCACTCGCCTCCACCGACTAGTATAGCTGCAGCTCCCATCTGTCCAAATCTTTACAGACAATTAGCACAACTTCCAGATGGGCAAAAATTCCCTTTGCTATCAAATATGAAATATGGTTACAGTCCTCCCTGTGTTGAAAACGTCCAGAAAAGTGTTACTGCAAAACATCATGATGTCCTGGCAAAGTTGTCCTTTCCTGTGCTTAAGTCCGAGGGAGCTAAAAAAAAGTCTCTGCATATACATCAGTCTGACCATGGAGAAATTAAAAAAGAACAATAAGCTCCTTTAATCAATTTCCCACACTCACGCTCCGTCTGACAAACCAAATGACTGTCACAGCTCGCACATGTGTGAGAACATATTCTGATAAGCCACTTCAGCAGCTTCCTGCAGAAGTTATTAAATGTCATCCACACTGCAAGCAGGTGGCAGATCAATTGCGACTGATTGTAATTAATTATTATCAGGTTGTGGTTAAACTCAGTGAAAAGCCTTCAGTTGATCCAAAATGCTGGAGTGAGAGTACTGACAGAGAGCATATTTCTCCCATACTGGCGTCTCTTCATTGGCTCCCTGTTAATTCCAGAATCAAATTTAAAATTGTTCTCCTCCTTCTTGTAGAATATCAAATAATCAGATTTCAAAGACCTCAGAGTACCCCCAATCACCCCAATAGAGCACTTTGTGTTGAACGTTTGAACTGATCTGATTGCGAGATGATTTCACCAAAAACAGTTGGTGTGTTGTATGGACAGAGACTGGAGTCTAAATACAGTTATCAGCCACAAAATCTGCTGCGAAGGCAGGATTTATTAATTGTTGGGTTTACTCTTTGGAAAGTCACCAAATACTGGCTGCAGCTGGATTTTTGCAGCTGGATGGAAAAAATGTCACTCTGCCTCTGGCGATACTGTCGTGTAGGTTGGTGGAGCAGAGCCCTGATAGAATACCTAGGTGATGTATTTAGTGCCTCAGTGAAAGTAAAGTCAAGATAGTTTATCAGAGAGACACAAACAGAGACCCAGAGAAGAAGCCTGAGATTGAGTGCTACCAGCAGAAGCATTGTCCCCTCTCTGAGTGACACACCATCTCTTCCTCCCCGGACACAGACCCTTCTTTGTTTGTTTCCTCAGGCCAAACGAGTTCAAACTGAGTGGAGCGGGGTGGGTGGGGTGCAGGATTGTGCACTGGGGTTGCAGAGTTGAGAAGAATATGGAGGGATGGATTCGTAAAAAGTAGGAGATGTTAGCAAAGACTGATGTAGAGAAACTGAAGGAAAACAGACTGTTTTTGCCTGACAGGATGCAGGTCAGTTCTGTGAAGGCGGAAAACGCAACGGGTTGGGTGGGGGTAGAGAATGTGTATTGGTGAATAGGGAGTCCAGGAGATGGGAGGGGTGCTTCATGTGAGAAAGAGAGCATTAAAGGGTATTTCCACACAAGGCTTTGCACGCTTTCCCTGCATCTGTGGTTACGGGCATTCCATGAAAAGAGCTAATGTGTGTATCTGCATGGAAGAGGCATTCAGACATCCAGCTTCTCCTATAAGCATGCCTACGAGCTTGTGCCTGTAACAGTGTGCAGTTTTACGAGAATCTCTTTGTGTGTCCTGCACTTACAAACTGAAGGAACACATGCCCCAGTGCATGGTGAGGCTGAGGTTCAGGCAACAGGCTGTATTCCACTGCAGACAACACCCCCTGGTGCAGCTTAAGGATGTCCTCGATATTGGAAAACAGAATCTATAAAATGAGAGGATGATGTAAAAGGAGGGCATATAGCAAAGAAGGGAAGGAAAAGAGGAGACCACAGAGGAGCACAGAGATGAGGGAAAAGTAAAGACATTAGTGACCAATTAGCATTTTCACATGGACGATTTCTGACATTTTGATATTTGCAATAAAAAACTGGCCATACCTTGACATGTTCAGGTGAGAGACACTGTTGGTCGTCTGGAGTTTGTCTGATTCTGTGCAGAAATGCCTGTGGAGGAGACGAACACAAAACGGGTTTAAAATGTGCCACACTTTACTGTCAATAAGGCAGTAGCTAAAGCATGTTCATCAGACATGTCAAAATAATTTTACATCGTTGATCTTAAGTGGGTCAGACCAGGGTAGCTATTAAACAATGTTCTTTATTAAGAAAAACTAAGAAAAGTTCTTTATCAACAGGAAAAGTTGCAAAACTTAAATTAAACACTCCTTTACATTTTCCAAAGCTGTCCAGTTCAACAGCTTATAGTCTTTGTCAGACAGATTCTGCCCCCCTAGCCTTATGTTTGATACCCCGAATGTACATCTATGAATATATATATAAAAATGGAGGAGAATATCTGGAAATCGTTAGTCTCTTTAGGTTTTCGTAATCATGCACCGTCACTTGTGCATGCAAAAAGTGGTCTGGAAGTGGAAGTCCAGCTTCCCTCTTGGGACTGTTTTAAATTTAGGATATAGGTGATCTTAGCTTTGAGGAAACAGATACAGTGCAGACAGATTCATTGCATTAACATAACCACACGAGCCTTTGAACAGAAAACCACATTTACTCTTAAATGCTTCATGAAAATGTCTTTTCAGGTACCAAACAGACATTTTGGGGCTGTTTCATTGTCCCTTGGGTCTAATAAGACAAGACGTGTTTTCCTTTTACACTTAAAGCCTCGCTGTATGGATCCTAAAGCGCCTGAGCATTCAACTGTAAGACATCCTCCAAAATGAACTGTTTCACTGTTGCAGTGTCTACGCACAGCACTACACCAACATGGCTCATAATAAGGCTCGTGTCAAGTTGAGCTTTGCTTGCGTGTGCAGCTCAGTTTTTGTGTGTGTTGGTGCCTGCCAATCAGATCCTGACTTGGGGGAAAAAAGAAAAAAAAATGGTGAATAGAAGGGAAGTGAATCTGCAAACAGTTTCTTTTATTCTCTCTTCCCCATTTCTCTGTCTATTGCCCTGTGTCTGACAGGCTTAACCTGCCTCAGTCTGACTGCTCTTCAGACGCCAATACTGGGATATCAGAAAGGAGATATGCATCCCTGAACCGACGAATAAAACTCTATCCTGAAGCCTACTTCATCAACCCGGCTCCTGCTGTTGTGTCTGCCTGCATTTCATTGCCTCAGATTTAGAAATTGATAGCTTTCCATGTGAATCAAGGGTGTTACAAAGAAGTCCTGGTTTAAGTGAGACTACTGCTCTAAACAAGAAGCCTTCGCCCGATACTTTTGGTAGAAAAGTATGACACCATGATCCTTATGCATGCCAACAATGTCATGTTAAAAGGTGCCGCTTCTACGTGTTTGCTTTATGGTTCAAGTTGTGAGATCCAGTGTCAACCCAAACACGAGCACAATGGATCAATAAATAATGCATGATTCTAGTAAAAAAGGTTATAGGACATTATCACTAACAGTGCCAAATGACAATGCAATAAATGTTTCATTGCAGGTTGCAAAGCAATACTTTCTTCCATCCAAAGTTATGGTTAAAGATAGACAGCAAACACAGATAGAGAGGAGGAAAACACAGCATCTCTGGCTTTTGCAGGGATTAAACTGAGGATTGGTTGCTAAATGCATTTTAGCTTATCTGGTATATAATTGTATAACACTTTGCTTTAATATCACCCCCTTAGCAAAATATGTCTATGATCTAAATGCATAATCAAGGGGAAAAAAGATTTTAGCTACAGCAAAATATTGACTAAAGACACAAACATTTTCCCTATAAAATCTCTAATAATCTGACCACCAGCACTGAGTATGGGCTGCTTTTGATGCTCAGTACTCAAAATGCATTAAACATTCAGCATTAGGTGCAATCCGACGCTAGAGTTGTCAGGTTGAACATGCTCCACTAGAGAAAATAGTCCCTATGAAACCTAATGACACCTTTGTAACACAAACTGCCTAAATAAATACATATGTTAAGTAACAGGATCAGTTTTTGTAATTTAGGTGAAGTGTGTCATTTATAGAAAACCTTTTCACGCTCCCTGCAGTTCCACATAGCACCAGTTACAGAAAGTCACTTCCCATAATTAAAGACTGACACTCCTAATCAGACGTTCGCTCTAAAGACAGAACCCAGCCAACCAAGCAGTCAGGCAGCAATTTTATAATTTCCTCTGCCTTTTTTTCTGTTTCTGCCTGTCTTTACTAGCTTTTGCGTAAGTCGTACCAAAAATAGAAAGCACGGCTCCTCACGGCAGTGAGCTGTGACCTCGCTAATTAAGACCAGTATTAAAGGGAAGTGGTAGTTGTCATGTTCTCGACTGTTTTTTTGTTTTGTTTTTTTTGGGAGGGAGCTGATTGCGCTTGAGGCATACACTAATTAAATCTCCCATATGGCAGCTTGTACCGTGTCCACACTGTAGGAGTCACTCAAGTGAGAGATTGCTCCTCAGCAGAGGATACGAGACAGGCAGGAAACAGAGCTTTTCCTCAGTCGCTTTCAGACAGGGTTAGCGCTGAGTGAGGGTGTGGCGGGTGAAGAAAAGAGCCAAGGAGGCAAAGGGTGAAAACAGAACAAACAACAACGAGCAAGGGGACAATGGTGGAGGAGACGGTGAGGTGTAAAGTATCTGTTATTCATGTATTCCTCTGTGACAGCTACCATCCAGGCAGGAATCACTCCTTTAACAAATGTGCCACACAGATGTGGTGAGACAGGACTCAGCAGGGAGGATGGTAGGAAGAAGGAACAAAGAATTCCTTTCAGTCAAAGTCTAACCCCAACAAGGACAGTCTCCCCCCAGAGTTGTATTGGCTGTCTTCATTGTTCCATCACAAAAGAAGACAGGTTTATTTGGAGAGAAAATTGGCTCTCTCCGTCCACCATCATGACTAAGGCAGGCTACAGGGAAGCCAGAATACAGGACAGTGCAGAGCATAAACTGAGCATGCACCCCAAGCATGTCCAAGTTTATTCAAACTGAGACTTTTACGCAGTTTGTACAGTAATTGTTTTCAGCGCGTGATTGAAATCAGAAACAGGAAATTGCCCCAGAGAAAGGTACTCTGGGTGTAATTGGAAATGTGTTGACATCTGATGGACAGCAGTTCATTGTGCGCAAACAGCCAAGTATCATAATTGGACAAACCGCAGTCTGGGCTTATTTTCATATTTGGCTATTTATTGGGCCTTTCCACTAATGACCACCAGAGACTGTAACTTCCTGCCAGTCATGCTCAAGCAGAAGTTAGAGATACTCTGACATCATTTGTTTTGACTTCCTCTGCAATCGAAATAACTTGATATATGACAAGTTATGAATGTTATTGGCTTTGTCACTGTGAAAGATCCAATATTTCTCCTTCTATTGCGCTACCGTAAAATAAGCAGATGTGACTGCACTTTAAGAAAACCCTCAGCATATTACAAATCATGCACGATTTGCATAGAGAGGACAATATCTCAGAGCATTACGCACATGCACACAAACTGGAAATACGATACGTATATTGACGAGACCCGCTCTTTCCACAGCACGCAGTTAAGCCAGTTGTTTACGAACACTGTAATTCTACTCTACACCACTGTGTGCAGTTGTTGTGCTCATTACTGCTTAATTACCAAACTCAGAGACGGCAAGATGCGTCTGATGGTCCTTGTTTACTTTCATATCGCCATCTTCATCTCAGGTGACCTTATCTGTCTCTTCTCTGACATCAGCACGTCATCATCAGCAAGGCGAGGCATGTGTGTGTCTGTGTAATCCTGTTTAGTGGAGGATCAGACATTGATGAATAATATTTGCTTGACTGATGAACAACAACAATAACCCTGCCTGCACTGGCTCTGGCTGACAAGTCTGTGTTTAGATGTCTGAAATCTGAGTCAGTTCACTATGAATTTGATGGAGATGGAAAAGGGCATGACGGTGTTTCAAAAGCTCCCCAACAAATCAAAAACAGTAGGGGGATGAAAAGAGAGAGTGCAGTGTAGCCTCTCCCGCATTGGTTTTCCGGTGTAGATCGCATTAGATGGCGCACCTTGTTACGCTTCAATACCTAAAAATAGCAACGATATCAATCAGTGTGTTAATAATAGTTGGTCATATGGGACACAGACTCAGTTTTGTGATACTTCTGGACTCATAACAATGAGTCAGACTGGCTCGGAGGAGGGCTCAGCTGCAGCACAGAGCACAGCGAGGATATTGCACATGATGCCACAGGGGTGAACGGCAGTAAGGGAAAGCTGCTCGTGATGCAATCCCACAGGAGACAAGTAACACAACCAGAAGCTCCTTGGCAAACCACAAAGTAGCTGCCAAGCACACTGATGCAGCATTATACCCACTGACATTTCATTATGATATACACTGGAAACTCCAACATCCTCCATACAGGAAGTAGTTGAAAGTCATTCTCAAAGTGTATCATCATACTGTGAACACATCTTTGTTTTTTTGATTTTTTTATACATATATATGAAATTCTTGGCAGTTAGACATTTAAAAATCCACACTGCTGTTATGCAAACTTTTCAGTGTCTCTTATTATTTTGCTCAAGTTTTCTTTACTATTGCTCAATCATTATTAAAAACTCTTTTTGGTTTTTTTTCTCCCTATTGGGCCTCAAAAGCCCACAATGCTTTTGAAAGTACTTAGAGAAACTCACTGGGGTTGAAACTCACAATGATGAGAGCAATACACAGGAAAATGTCAGCCATTATTAAAATTTCTTAGCTGTGACTCTTTACAGGGATCGAAAAGAGCCACCGTAGTTCAAGCATGACAGTTATGTTTATTGCTTTGGAATTTAAATAGTGAGAGTCAAACTAAAGCTTTTTTAATTAGCTGTACAAAGAGAGAAACCAAATACAGTCGTGTGATAAAGTTTTCACATCGCTCTTCGCAACTTTGTGAAAAACCCAAGTACATCCTTGCTGCTTTCATAGGAAGTAAGAGAGTATGTAGCTGCCAGGTGCTGCTAAACAAACGCACTTCTTTCAGGTATGTGCTAACACAATACCACAA